GTGTTGTACAGCTCAGGCTGATAGATTCCCTTCAGGTCTAGACAAAAGCTATTGCTTCCATGATGGATTTTCCTCAACCTCAAGTTGAGTGGGAGGGCATGGTGGGTTGACAGGTGTCTGCCAAAAATTTGTGTCTACTCGGAACTTCAAGATGTGATCTTATTGAATATGAAGATCTGAAGTTGAAAACATCCCAAATTAAAGGTGTCCCCTACCTTCAGTGATCTGGTGTCCTTACAGGAAGGAAGGAGAAAGACCCAGAGGAGGGAGCTGGGTGAAGAGGAGGCCAAGTTTGGAGTAACTGCTAGGAGCCAAGGCTGCTGAGAACTGAAAGGAACAGAGGATTCTCTGCTGTAGAAAAAATAAATGAATCCATTATAGAAGTCTTCCTTGATTTCACTCAAAACAAAAACTTTGAACATTGTCTTTAAAAGTCTGATGATCACCTGATTTATCATATGGATGCCTTGAAGATCCTTAGCCACACCTAATCCCTTTGTTTAAATTTCCCAGGCCCCCAATTATAAGCCCTGCCGCCTCCATTTTTCAATGTAACTCACCAAAATCATTGCCTGAGAATCAGCTGGGATGATTGAAATGGGAGAGAAAACTCAGTTGAATATTTTAATACAATAAAAGGAAGAAAACCTTCATGGAGGGAGGTATCAGCTCACCTACTTGGATTGAGTTGATACCTCAGGACAGATACTAGCTTTATGCAAATGGAGGGCCGAGGCGAGCCTTGTTCGACCATCCTGACGCCCACCTGTACAGTGGCCACACAACCTGTGCAGACACTCCCACACTGACCCACACAACACCACTCCAGGCAGGAAGGAAATCCTGAGGAAGCCCTGGCCCAGGTTATGGGATGGAGGAGGTGCAGAATATGCAGATTCCCTCACACTGGAGATAAAAGCCACCCTAGCCCTGGGGGGACTGACCCTCACACATCAATTAAACCCAGAACCTGTTTTTAGGAGACAAAGGCATAGCTCTCACCTCGGACTATGCCACCTAGTTTTCTTTGAACCTCTGCAATCAGGTGCCCTTCCCCACCCCTGCTACAACTGCTCTGTCCAGAGGTCTTTGAGGAAGTCCAGAAAATGCTGGAACCTTCCAAACCTACAGGAGGCCTTTTCCTTCCTAGTGTCGTGAAACCCGCCTTCTGGCTTTTGAAATATGTTTTTATGTCAGACACCAGTTCATCACATGCTTATTGAATCATTGTGCATGGGGCAGGTGGACAAGGTCCTCAACTCAGAAGTTAATGTAGGGATGAATAAAATGGTCCTGCTGCCAAAGTTGTCTCGGGAAAATTCCCCTGAGAGCATTTAAAAATCTCAGGCCAGGCGTGGTGGCACATGCCTGTAATCCCAGCAGTTTGTGAGGCTGAGGCAGGAGGATAGATTTCAAAGCCAGCCTCACTAAATATAAAAAAATATAAATATAAAAAGGGCTCTAAAATATAAACATAAAAAAAGACCCCAGATTTGCTGGGGTCTCTGTAGCCTCTGCTCTCTATGACTGCACCTGACCACATTGCTAGGGTGGCTAGATATTCGAGTCACCAGGCTCTGAGCTGCTCAATCTCATTGGAATTTATATTTTATATAATAAAGGGCTGGGGATGTGGCTTAGTGGTTAAGCACCCCTGGGTTCAATCCCCAGTATAATAAATAAATAAGGTCAAATCAATAAAAAATTCAATGAGGTAATTTTCAGGTTATATATATATATAAAATCTTAGGAATCACAGGTTACATAATTTTTATATGAAGATGTCCTAGAACTAAATTAGCACGTTTCAAAAAAGTAAAATTGATAAAATTTATGTTAAAATTAGATACAGTCTCAACCTTAATGTCTTCATGGAGTTGAATGATGATCCCATTAAAGGAATCTGGAATAGGGTGTGAGCTCTTCCTTGAATGTAAAACACTAAGGGATCGATCCCTCATGCTAGTTTACCCCTGCAGATTTTAATATGAAGTGGATGAAAGTTATTATAAACTGAAATTGAACAATTATAAGTCAACGTCTCCTTTCTCATGAAAGCTAGTGTCACAAAACCATCTACTCCACACTCATCTCAAAACGAATTTAATTAACACAGAAGTAGCATTAAAAGACAAGTCACCCTGCAGTTCTTTCCCCTCGGCAGTGCCCTCTTGGCTTCTAGGGGTCAGACCGGCCCTCTGGGCTCCTGGTTTCCTCGGCCTCTTCCTCGACCTCCTCCTTGGCCTCCTCCTCGGCCTCCTCCTCGGCCTCCCTGGCCAGCCTATCTGCCATTAGGGCCTCAGCCAGCTTCTTCCTCAGTTTCTTCACTTTCCACATCTGTCTGCGGATGTCTGCACTAGTTACCGGTTGACTGTGGAAAGATGGTGAGTGACGAAGACCCCCTCCTGGAATCATTCCTCTCCCACATGGAGGCTGGCCAGCAGGTTCCAGGAAAGGGTGTGGGCCCCCAGCACCAGCTGGGCCCTCAGATTCCCCGGGATTTCCCATTTCGATTATTTTTAATGCATGCATAAAATCAAATGAACTTAAAAGTTCTCCTCCGCTGCCACTGGCCTGGAGCCCCTGCAACCTCCTGAATTCACAGAGTTGCCGGGGTTTCTGTAGCCCCTGCTCTCTCTGACTGCACTTGACCACGTTGCCAGGGTGGGAAGATATTCGAGTCACCGGGCTCTGGAAGATGCAGCTGGTCAGTCTCATCGGAAGAGCAGAACCTACACCAGCTCTCCGCTTGGCCTTGGTTTCGTGGACTTCCAGGTCCCTCTGTACAGTCGGGGGCATCAAATTTCGTTTGAATTTTCCCTTTAAAAACAAAATGTGAAATTTGAGCAAAATGCAGGATAAAGACCTACCATAAGCTGTGACAGTCAAGCCAAAGTGACTCCATTTTGCTTAGCAACTCCATTTTGTAAAATAGAAAGGTCATGCCTGGGGCAAGTTGTTCTTTTCCTTTGGCTATAGAAACCCTTAAGAACACGGAGCTATCTAACAGGGCTCCGTTTCTGTAACTAGGGTAACGGGGCTGTGATTCTGTAACTGGGGTGACTGGGCTGTTACTGGTTAGGCTTCCCGCCACTTGACTGCACTCTCCCGCTTCTGTGACCTGGCTTGCTTGCATTGGCTGGCCCCCCAAGCATCCCTTTTGTGGTTTTCAGGCTTAAAAGGAGCGCCTTGCAATTGTTCGGGGCTGATCAAGGAACGGACTTTATGCTCCCCATCAGTTGCCACCGGTGTCTTCAATAAAGGCTTGATTCAATTATGTGAGTGGTCTGGAAGTCAATTTACGAAACCCGGGATATTGGATCTTCCAACGGCTCTCCCCAACCACCACCACCACCAGAGATGCATCGTGATCTTCTGAAAAGTTTGTTAATACTCAGGTTTCAAGTAGGTCTGGGGTGGGCAGGGGTGGGGGGTCCCAGAAATT